CCAAAACAGGTGTGTGTGTGTGACGGTATATGCAAATCCTGTGGCATAGAGACCATGAGTGTTGAAAGCCTCATGTGAACACTGCGCCGACTCCAGGGCCAGGGCCGCGCGCCCCAGCCGAGCCACCCCTCGGATCAAACAAGTCTTGTGGGAACTGCACGCTCTTGGCGCGATGCCTACGGACGTCTTTGACGTCTTTCAAATGCAAGCAGCAACCAACGCCCCCGTCTGAAACCGCAGAGACTCTCACAAACTTTGCTCATGCCGAGGCTGCCACCAGGGGATGTGGCATCGGAGCAAGGCTTGGTTTGGGGGGACTTGGTACCACCCCTTATGCATGTCTACACTTAGCTTGGTTGACTCATCACAAGCCTCCCAGATTTGCAGACACTTTCAAGTGAAGACTGCAACTCGTCGGGTGGATGGAGCATGTGGGAATTTGAAGAACAAGCTTCGTGGGTCGCTTCAAGGGGAGTGCGGATTCGCTATGTCTGGATGGGTCAATGTGCCGAGTCCTTGTCAACTCTTTTGCGGCTGAGCTGACGCTGCTTGAGAAGCAGGAGCGCCGACACGCTCCAATTTCCAGGTTTGCAAATCGAGCAAAACGAAACGAGGTGGGACTGAAAGCCTTTGGTTGGAGTGCTGGATCGCTAGCTAATATCATCTGACCTTGCTGGTGGTGGGTGGCAAAGGTTGCTATAGCGTGTCTCTTTTCAGAAGAGCCTGTGTCACATAAATCGCCGCGGCTTCGTACCCTGTAGCACGCTTTGGCGACGCGCGATTCTGAGTGTGTCAGGATGCTTTGTTCTGCCGCCACTCGATGAGACACGAAACAAGAGGTTGCAACAACATAGCAAGGGAGAGGCATGATTCAAACCGAGCTTGTCGTTGAAACGCATCCGCAGCGGGCTAAAACGAGGATCTGCGTTTTGACACATTTTGTTGACCTTCTCGCCTTCGCTGCCTCTGTCCAACACACGCTCCCGCAAATCAACACAGGACATCAAACCAAGCCCGGTCCCCCACACAGTGGGACTTTGGCGCCTGTATTGGAACAAGTCGCCTCCCCTCTTGAAGGACTTTTCGGGGGCAACCACACCCGCGAAAACACCTTCTGACCCTCCCCACTCCAAAAAGAAAATTTCGGCAATTGGATCTGTCCATGGGCCTGACCTGCCCAATGTTGACTTTACCATACATGAAATGTGCATTTTTGCAGGGAAAAGGCAGCCAGCGACCGTGGAATTCGAGAAAGCAGTAGGGAGATAAAAGCGGCCAAGCCAACAGGTACGTTTGGGTGCTATTTGACCCCTTTAAAATGCTTTGGCAAGCCAACCCAGAGTGCTTCATTCCCCCGAATTGAATTCCAAAAATGAGGTTTGAACCCGCAGAACCCAGACACCGCAAGCTTTGCCAGCCGCGAGTCGAAACGCTTTGTGGGTAACAAAGCGCTTGGATGGAAAAGCCGGGCCTTCTCTTGCTTTCATCCGTCGAGAGGGTGCGTTTGAGAATGTCCCTTGAATGATCTTCGTTGCCAAGCTCCTGTTGGAGCTAGACTCCGATCCGCTCAACCGAGGCAAGAGCATTTGGCAGGTCTTCGCCGAGATTCAGTTGGTCAAGCTGGCTGAGGACGCAAAATGTCTTTGTTGAACAATCTGAGTGTGAACAGTTGAAGGGTCTGTGTCTATCAATTTATGTTGCTTTTGCACACTCATGGTATTGGCAGTGTCGTCGTGCCCATGAGGTTTTTCATCCGCTTGTTTGGGCCAAGGCCACTCAGCTGAGTTGTTAGTCTCATGGAAGTTGAATCTGTCAGGAATGGAAACCAAGAGCAGCAATTGCCTTTTCCCCCTCCCCCCTCCCCCTAGAACTTCCGGAGGAGACTGACCCTTTCCCTTACCGTCAACTGCGCTCCCTGGGACAGCGCTCAATGTTTGAACATGTTTGAACCCAGGAAAATTGAAGTTGTGGCGTGGGCCCATTGAGCTTGAGTCCGGTGTCTTGGGGCTGCCGCATCTACACGGCACTGAAGGGAGGTTACAGGCCACCGGCCCCCAAAAAATTGGTTTGAATCTATGGGGCTTTAGAATTACGATTTCCTTCGAAGGTGTCCATGGTTGCGGTGTTGAAAGCAAACTTGCGACCCAGAACTTCAACATGCCCCATAAAACAGATTATTCAGAAACCTTCGTTTCAAAAGTCATTATCAATGTCAAAAAACAGCACCGTAAAGCCCCCTCCCTCAAAATTCATCAAGGCAGCCCAGCGCGGAGACAGCCGTGAAGAAGTTTTTCTCCTGCCAACTTTTCTTGGACATGCGCAGGTCAGGTCCGCGTTGCCACAGTCCCTTGCTGCGGCACAAACAATGGGGACCTGCACTTGGGAAGGCCCAACACCTGCACGCGCGCAGTGACGCGTGTTTTTTTTGCGTGCGCGCGTGTAGGTGCATGCGCGCATCTACGTCTATGTCTACGCATTTGCATCCGTGTTCTATGCGCTTATGAATATACACATACATGCGCACGCATGTCCTTTGTGCGCATACGTAATTTTTGAAGTGTACCGTCTTTTCAATGGGATTCTCTGAGCAGCCATCGCGACTAGTTTTGATGGCGCAGCGTGGGATGGCTCCATGAGCCGCGGCCTTTTTCGGACGGCCGAAGCAGGGGCCTATTCAGCGATCTTTGGTGATGATTGGTTCGATGCCCACTTCTTGAGCGATTGTGGAGACGTTGTCATCAAAGATCGGACAGGACCTCTCACGCCAGCCTTGCCCTTCAGGACTTTGAGGACAGCTCTTGGGCTTGATGCCTCGGCTGGTGAAGCGGTGATCTTTGTTGAGATGACGCGGAGATTTGGATCCCGGCATCTCACTGGACACCGCTCGGCTTCGTAAGGTGCAAGAGCTTCATGTGGTGCCAGAAGTATGCAAGGCCTGTGGCAACAGATCTCCATGAGGATCTCCCGGTGTCAGAGTACTGTGCCACTTATTTGGCAGTCCTCTCAGACGGCGCGCTAATAGTGATGCCGACTTTTCGACGAGCGCTCGCCCGGCTTTTCTTCTCAACGCGAGCCGCAAGGGTCGATGCCCTCTCGGCGCATTGAGTGCGTGCAACGAGAGGGGCCTTGTGTTGCAGGAGCAAATTCGACCATACTTTTGGCATGGCTCAGGCTTCCTTTTTGCTGAGCCCAACATGGCAGCTTTGTGGATTGTTAGGGTGCCTGGCCATCCGTAATGGGAATTTCCACTGAAGGGAACAACAAAAGCAAACAGGTGATGGCGTGCATCTTCCAAACTCGATAGGTGTTAATTTGATTTGCCTTTGACGGGGTGTGAGCGCTAAGGGGTCCCGCGGTTCAGGGGGGCGCGCAGCCAGTTGACGAGAGCATTTGTTGACGAGGTTTCTCCTCTTTGGGTCTGGCAGCTCGCCCGTCCTGTAAGATTCCCGGGTTGCAAATGCTTCAGGCAACTCCGTCACACAGAAGAGTGCAATAAGCTCTGCGAGCTCACAGCTCACTTTGTATCGCCTCCTGGTATATAGCGGACCGAGATAGAAGAGATATATATATATATATATATATTTACATTATTTGCTGGATGGATAGTTTGACAGAAACAGAGGTAGATAAGATCGAGTGCTTGAATAGACAGGTAGAGCGAGGGGCAGATAGATAGATAGATAGATAGATAGTTAGATAGATAGATAGATAGGTAGGTAGGTAGGTAGGCAGGTAGGTGGAGATCAATATGTAAATAGACAGAAGACAGACAGAAAGAAAGGAGAGCAAGAAAGAAAGGAAAAATAGAAGCAAGGAAAAGAAAGAAAGAAAGAAAGAAAGAAAGAAAGAAAGAAAGAAATAAACAAAGAAAGAAAGAAAGAAAGAAAGAAAGAAAGAAAGAAAGGAAACAACAAGAAACACAAAGCCAAAAAGAAAGATTGAAAGATTGCACAAATGGATCCAATGGAAAGAAAGAAGGAAGGAAAGAACAAAGAGAAACATAAGACAAGATAAATGTAGTTGTTATACTTTAGACACTTCCAACCACCGGCTTCGCCCCGGCTCTATACTATGTGTATACATACACATTTACATGTACGTATTCACACACACACACTTGCAAATATGCATATGCATATATATATATATATATATGTACGTATAGATAGATGCATAAACTACAAATGCAATTGCATAGACAGAGGCATATAGGTATATAGTATACATGCATAGAGACATACACGTACGCATACAAATTTTATAAGCATGTCTGCATACACGCGGCCTTCCCAAGCGCAGGCCCCCATGGCGTGCGCAGGCGGCCAAGGACTGGCAACGCGGACCTGACCTGTGCATGCCAATGCAAAAAAATCCAGGGCGCTGACGACATGAAGTCATTTCGTGTTGGCCTGCGTGCTCGGCCGTGCTCGGTGCGCCTGCCTCACCTTACCGTTGTCCCTGTTAGCCAGGCAAGGTACCCCTGCGCCATGTTCTTTTTCCATTTTATGTGCATGAGGTGCCCGCTCGCTCTCTCGCTTGCTGGCTCGCTCCCCTCTCTCTCTCTCTCTCTGCGTTTCTCTGTCTATCTGTCTCTCTCAAATTGCCACCGCCGGGAAAAACGGAGCACCTGCAACAAAGCCACAAACCACCTGCAACAAGCTGCCTACCGCCTGCAAAACAGCGCTGAGGAAATCCAAACGACAAAGCAACCTTACAGGCTGGTACGTAGAACTCGGCAAAATTCACAGCAACTGAAGTCAGGAACTTTCCGCCTGGCATGAAACCCCAGCAAGTAGCAGGGAGAGATCGCCATGGGGAGAGATCGCCATGCTCCGCTCTCGCGCTTTGACAGCTTCTCACGCCATCGGCTGCGGTGAAACCACACACACACACACACCTGGCAATCTGGGCTGCAGGCAATTCGGGGGCTGGGCACCCAAATCATCCGGAGACTCGCTAACAAGGAGCTGCCAATGTTTAAAGGCAACAAGCCTATGATGTCAGTTCTTCCATGTGCGCCATCCATGCCCTGATTTTGGCGACGAGTCGGTGAAACGTCTTCTGGGCCCACGCTTTGCGTGGCATGCAATCAGGCAAAGTCTCCAAAGTAAATGTTGTGTGTCCTTGGCAGGCTAACCAAAATGTTCCGACAATCCGGCTCTGATAACGGCCAAGGCAGAACCGTTGCGATACCAAGTTAGCCCGTCCTCAACCATCCATGCATGGTGATCTAAGGAGACCTTTCTTATTCAGTGGCTTTCGGCAACACAGGGCACCAGCTGGAGCGTAAGGTGGGGTACAATCCACACCAAAGGATTGCCACCCTGAAGGCTATGTGAACCAGTCACAAGCGCAAACACCACGGCACCCCTTTGAAAAAGAATTAAAGAGAAAAAACACTGGGCTGCCCCGCTTCGTGATCCAATCCGAGTCCTTGCGCGTGGTGTAGGTGCCAGGGCCAGGCATTTCCTCCCCAGGTGCGAAGAGGATGCAGACCGCCCCAGCCCACACCCAATTCGCCCAACAGTTGCAGCGAAGCACCGCCCGCAGCTGGCAACTGCCAAGGCATCCTGTTTGGTGCGCTGCCAGGATCCATGCCTAGAAACCCGAAAAAAAACAGCCGTGCCTATTCTTGCGCCTACCACAAAGCGTGCGGCATCTTGATGACATATCCAGAACGAATCTGCACACCAGCAGAGTGGCCTCGCCACGGCCGCGGACGAAGCGCTTGGTCTGCGACTCGAAGCCAAGGCCCTCAGAAGCAAACAATGCCTCCAAATTGGCGGCCAGCCTCTCTGGCAATCGAGAAGCCACACACTTGATATCCAACGCACATCTGACATAAGTAGTACCCGGCTCATTCCCAAGGGGATCTTGGGTGGCCAAGAATGCTGGAGATGCCTGGGGAAAGGTGTTGAAAATTGTGCAGTCTTTCATGATCAAATACTCGCGCATGGGTTTCTTGAGAGTTCTCTTGTTGGGGGTTGAAGGGATTAAATCAATGAAAGACCATCCATTTGAGCAGCTCCGCCATTTAGAGCTAGACCCACAAAAAGCGAACCGGCAATTTGGGAGACCTCCCCGATGGCTGAGCAACCCACCTGCAATGCGAGGAAAACTCTCAGGCCCCCGCCCGGGGCTTGCCGGAGGCGGGCGCGGCCTCCACCTGGCCATCAGCGAGCAGCCCTATCCTTCGATCGGGCATGTTGGTCCTTGAAATGTCAACCTAAGAACAAGTCGCACACGTGCTACGAGCTATCCCAACTTCACCCACCCTATGATATCCGCGCAAGCCAGCAGCACGGCTTGCCGGTTGAAGGTTCCTTTGACCTTGCCCCCAGTCACGTCGTTGACGACATACCTAAGGGCAAAGGGTCTGACACCAAGCGCCCTGCACACCATGCTGAAGGAAAAAGTGCATAAGACACGTTGCCCCGCCCTCAGACCATCAAAAGCTCCCCCGCTCAAAAACAGCACTCCTAAGCGCCCGCGCCAGCCAGGGCCCGGAGACGTGAAGCCCTGCAGCCCCAGGGACCGCTCCGATGCCTCGAAATCCCTCACAATCAAGACGAATCCCGTTCTTCTGATGTACTCCCATCTTTCGCTGATTCACCTTTTCCAAGCAAAACATATTAAGATATATTAAGATAGTCAACCTTCACACCCCGAATTTACCAACACCCCCCCTCCTGTGGGGCCCCGGGCGGAGCCGAAGCCCTCGTTCTTCGGGGCGTGGCGGCGCACCTCGCCGAGCTCCTTGAGAGACCGGGGGCTGTACCTGGCCGGGTCCAAAGTGAGAGGAAAAACCGCCACGAACAAACCGGTTGCTCCTTCTGCCACGAGAACAAACAGCGAATGCACGCCAAGAGCAAGTGTCCTTGGTGGAATTAGTGGAATTGGGCGGCTGCTCTGTCAGGTTCACTACCAGTTCTGACACCACGCAGCCCAAAACTGATAAATTCACTGTAACTGGACGCTTCCTCTTTGTGGGTTGCGTGAGGAACTTCTCTGGCGGCTTTTCCTTGGGGGCGAAGGCGGGGGCAAGCGAGCCGAAGCGCACGCGCCGGGCGGTGGGCCAACCTGCCCATCCCTCTGGTACTGAGAGACCATGATGTCCTGAACATGCAAACGCCCTGTCTTTGGATATCTCGACCGCTGATGGCCACAGGCTAGGATATCATAATTATTTGCCAAACACCGGCAAACTAAAAGTCAAGGGTTCGGACTCGAGCAAGCAAAGCAAGCTATGGCGGCAAGGAGATACTTATTACGGTTTGCTACAATCCCTCCCGTGTGGCTTGCGCACAAACTCGCGTGGCGCTTTGCGCTCCCTTCACCGGATCTCTGCTCAGCCACCCCCATTCACGGAACCGCAAATTCTCATGACATTGAAACTCGTTGTTCCTCGCCAAATGCCTGAAGAGAAGGCGCCACTGATTCACAATCTGTTTACATCATGACTACATGACAGGAATGGAGGGTAGCGTTCAGCTACATCGGGGTAACCCCCCGGAAAAAAAATGTCGGTGTATCCTAAAATGGGGAAACTTCCAAATTGGGTTGGTGTCCTTTGGTTTCCGTCTAGAATCAACCCCAGAAGTGCTTACCTTCCGTGAGGGGCACGCAACACGGCTCTCGGGCGTCCTTCGGCACCGTGGACCGGAAGAAGGAGCTGGGCGGAAACACCCGTCGAGGCTTCCTGGCACCGAACGCGAGGGCTTGTGCTAAGCTCGAAGAAACTCAGCAACTTTGAAGCAAACCTGAGACACCCCAAGAGAGAGAGAGAGAGAGAGAGAGAGAAAACAAATGTACAACCGAACAAGCACTCCATCCGCCCTATGGCAAATGATATGTGTCCACTCACAGCGAGTGTCCTCCAAACAATGTGCAGATATAGAAGTGGCGACCCGGCAGCACCAGTGGAATTACCAAGCACAAGAAAGCACCATCATCTTAATGGGTTTGAAACGCTGTGCAAGCGTGCAATGCCTTCGCATTTTTGGGCAGGTCTGATGTAGCACCACTCCTCTAGACATCACAGCTATTGCCGCCAACTTGACCATGGACGCCAGAATGGCACCCAAAAAACTAGCAGAAATGAAAAAGGATATGCTTTTGGACTCATGTCCTTTGCGTACCCATGGAGTCGAAGTGCTCTCTTTGTGTTGGAAACATGTATGACGAGGTGATGCTCTTTGAATCCGGGTGGCATCCGCCAAAGCGGAATATCGGGGCAAATGTAGCATTTTTTGGACATGTGGGCAGCCTCCCTCGCCATGCATGATCTTCAAATCAAGCCGAACAGCCTAAATGAAGCCAAGGGCCACCCTTGGAAAACGTGGTCCTCGCCAAAGCCTGCAAAATATGTGGGTGTTGCTTCCTAATTGGGCATGGCCTGCCTGGATGTTCCAAAAAAAAAGGACCATCCCCAAAACCCCTCTCATTGTTGCAGAGCCATTCTTCTGAGGGTTCCCCTTTCAACTCCTGCAAACAAGCAATCGATACCACCCGCACCGCAGGTAATCCGCCGTGCCTGGGGGCGCTGTCCTCGCCCTGACTCAAGTGGGGGTCGTCTGTCTTGCTTAAGCCACTGGTTTTGTTGAATCCGTTTGAGAACCTGTAGTGACAGACTGACCCCCTAGCAGGTGCTTGGAAAAGGGACAGTCGCACGCTCTGCCAACTTGCCCGTGCAAACAACAGATTTTCTTCTGCAGGCTCTTTTGTATGATCTCACGCAGATACCCGTGTGTCATCATCGTGGAACCGCAAGGCATGTTCACGGCAAGGAAACCACGTAAACAGCGACGACGTTACCTCGGGCGGTGCCATTTTTGTGCGAGTAAAAGAAGCGGTCCTTCCTGTCTGTTGTCTCAATTGCACCAGGCAAGCTTTGCCAACGTGTTGGACCTCAGGTTGAGCATCCGCCCGCCCTGAAACCCGCGGCCTCGGAGTTTTGGTAGGCCCCAGGCCCGGGCTCCTGGCAGGTCGAAATCAGGGGTCGCAAGGCCTGCCTTGTCAAGGGTGCTCAAGCATGGCATCATTGATGCTTGAGCAACATATTCAGTTCATATTCAGGAGCATGGCATTGATGTTCCCTTCTGTCTTGCGGCTGCCGAGTGAACCATTGAGCTGCTTTGCCCATTGAACCAACCGCACAGGCCAAATTGTCTCGCCCGAATGCCTTCCAACCCTTCTGTGGCCTGCGCCTTCTTGGCATCTGCGATGCCTCGCCTTGCCTCCATGCTACCTGGGCCATCGAAAGCGACTCGATTCGACTGCCAAAATAGTATGAGGGACAGTCATGGCTCCCTTGCTGCGAATCTTCAGCATCTGTGAGTACTGAAGTGGTTGTGGCCTTCTCCGTGGACCGCAATATCCATTTGTCTTCAAGGGTCTCGGCTACGCACATCAGTCCTGCGGAGTTTCTTTGGAGATAGGTCAAGAATGATACGCACGTCCTCGTTTCCGATGTCCACAATACCTACTCCCCTTTCAGCGTCAAGAAGCAGCGTGGCTCCGTCGCTGGGCATGCGGAGCTCTTTACCAGGAACCATGCGTTCCGATCCAAACGGACCCCCTGGTTGCGAACATGGAAATAGGCCCACTGCCATCCTGCAAGAGAAGCAGTGCAGGCTGCAGGATCCAATCCAAAGACAGAATGAATCCCTTGACAGCCGCCTTGTGCCTGAATGCCGTCACCCTGTGGAGAAAACCGCATTCCGTGTTTTGAGTCCAGTTGGAGTCCCCAGCTATCATCTGTTACGCCCCCCCTCCCCCCCCGCCCCATACCACGTGGCCACTGACCCCCTCCTGGGGCGCGCGGCCGAAGGCTAAGCCCCCAGTGCTGCCCAGGATGGACACGGAGCTGTGGCGCCAGAGCTGCCCCGGGTCTTAGCGCAAAGGCGTCCGTAGGCGTGTTCCAAGGAGACCAGCCCTTCCTCGGGAAATGCCTCCAAAAACAATACGCGTAACTTAGTCAAGGGTTATTCCTCGAACAAACCGTACTGAGGTACTTGGGTTTTCATGACTTGTGGAACATGGAAGGGAAAGAAGGCGGGGAAAGAGTCAAAGGCCTGTGTCATGAGATCGGCTGATACGACTTGCATCCTGATTTTACGAAGTGGATCTTGCGACAATTCTGAAAGGAGCCCAGTCTACATCCATGGTGATTGGAGGAAGAGCGGAAGAGCTGAGCAGTGATCCAACCACTCACTTGCCCAAAGGAGCTGGAAATAAAAGGTTAACGCTTTGGGGCCATGACTAAAAATGAACCAAAGTTGGAAAACCAAAAGGTCAAAAGGTCGGCTTTGGGCAACTGAGACCAACATAAGCTTAGCCGAGGGTTTCCTCCGGTGTATCTGCAAAAATATGATGGCTACGGTATATCATGGAATCAAATGACGACAAACAAAACAAAACTTGTCTTCCCAAAACGTTGTGGTCAGCTCGACGAGAGCAAAACGTCTTGAACTTGAACCCTGCAATTTGCTGCGGTCGACTGGGCTCAGAAATCAGCTGTTGCATGCCGACAAAAAGCGCATCCGCCCATTCACTTGGAGAGGCACCCAGATTCACCTGCCTTGGGCCCACGTGCGACAGAGATTCTGTTGAAAGTCCTTGTTGAAAGCCATCGGCCCACTTCACTTCCGTCTCGCGCGGCGAATGGGGCCCGGGCCGTAGTATGCCCCTGGGCCGGGCCCTTGGCTGAGCTTCTCCGACCTCTCCTCCTGCCCGGTCTCGTCTGCATCGAGAACAAGGCCAAACTTCTGCGGACCGAAGCACCAGAAATGCCAGCGGTCTGGCAATTCAAAAGCATTGACCACCATAGAGTTGCTCACCCACGCTGCCTCCCTGCATGTTTGCCAACATACTTCAGATGTCGCCTTTGACAACCTCAGGAAACAGTTGGCGCCCGAGTGCGGCATAATCCGTCAAAGCAACCCGCCCCCCTCCTTGAAGCGCTTGCCCTTGAGCCAGGCGAAGCTTTTGCCCTGAGCCCGAATGGCTTCCTCCCAAAATCCACCGCTTAATTCTCTTTGACATGCCGCCAGGGGCGAGCCCCACTTTGAGATACACGTCCAGCCCACGTCAAACTTGTGACTATCGAGCCGAAACACAAGACGTACAGCCGGCGGCCCGCCCTCCCCTCCGATTTCCTTGGCCGCGCCTGGCCCTTGAAATCTGGCGCGCCGTACTGTCCAGGCCCGGGCAGTTTGCTGGCAACCACTGTGGCCTCATCCTCAGCGAGAAAAGCGGGTGGTTCATGCAAACGTCCAGCTGCAAGGGTGCAACCATTTGAGAATATTGGCTCCTTACCTTGCCTTGAAATTTCGGCGTCAATGCATGTACAGTCCCCGCACTCCCACCAAAGCCCGCTGTGCCGGCCTCCTTGAAGCGCTCGGAAGTACTGCCAAAGTACTGGAGCTCTGGGTGCAGCTCCCGCATGTTCGGGCGCCGGCTCTGCCTGCGCGGAAGCCAAATCAAAATCCATACGCCAAGCCTCAGGCGCAAGAAAACTCCCTGCAGCTGACTCACTTCAGCTCACTTGAGTCACAATCAGAACCCGGTACTAAAATTGTCTTCCCAGAACCATGTAAGGAATTCAGAAGGCGGCCGCAGCTATGTATGGTTGGGATCGTCCTTTACGAAGCCTCATCTACGGCTTTGATTGGCTCACTTGAGCGCTTGCGTCGCACCCGCAACCGTGCGCACCTCGCGTACTGCCCCGGCCCAGGCATCTCCGCAGCGTACTTCTGATCGTGCTTTGACCTGTCAATTGGAAGCTGTTGTCAACCCCAGACAGCCTCTCTCAAACAATCAATGAAGCAAACATGACAGAACTATGGCCTATGGACCCTTTGGTGGGCAAGTAATATGGGACCCTGGTGGGAAAGAATACCGGAAGATTCAACGTTCACCAAAAGGCCCCTTCTGCAGCCGCTCGAAACTGTTAAACCGCCTGGGGTACTGTTGGACTGTTTGCCGCTACCTTGAGTACAAGAGGTCAACATAGGGCACCCCCACAATGGGCTATTTACAAAGACCTACCCAGGCACCTCCTTGTTCCCGCTTGAGTAACATCTGCTGTTGGTGGTTACAGCTTTCTCACATGAGGGCGGCACCCGCGCTCGGTCTGCGAGACGAAGGAGGAGCACACGGCCTTGTCACTCTGGGCGATGCCCTGACGTGTTGGCAGGGTACGAAGCATCACGCTTCTGAGAATTCTGCCCTGAAGCGTGCTGGTTGAGTGTCTGCCTCGTCTGTTCCTCTCATTTCCTGTCCTCCCTGCTGACCCCACACCTTGAGCAGGTAGTGCCCTGGCCCAGGCGTCTCCGAAGGCTTGCTTGCAGGGTCGATCCCTGGCCTCAGTGATTTAGCAACGGCAGCTGTACTGCCATTGATTTGTGCATGCGTATGTATTACATGTAAGGGTCTTGAAAATGAACAGCCCATTCCAGGCTGGCCCTCTGCCCACACAAACTATTGCAACCTCAATGTAGAATCCATTTTGGTGGATTTAGACCTGCAAAGCCTACCCTCAACTCCCAACCTCAGGGCTCCGGCGGCATGATCCGGCCGCCACAACCGCTATTGGCGACCGCCCGCACCTCCAGTTGCGCCAATGCGCTACCACAGAGATCAACGCTCCGTCTTAACTGGTCCGCTGACATCAACTTCTACCACGGGTGACAAACGGAAACTGCAACACCGGCGCCTTGTGCGAGTCGTACTGCCCCGGGCCAGCGCTATCTCCCGGCTTGCCTTGGTCCACAGCGCACAATTGTCCCCCAATTCAGCCTATGGCTCAGCTCGGTCAACCAAAAAGCAAAGAACCCTCGGCTCGGCCAACAATGCGCCACTTTTGCCAACGGGGGGTCTGGTCTCGTCATCTTTGAAGTCTCCGGTTCAAGGTGTGTAGGTGTCCTCTGGTGGGACCCAACAGCGCAATGGGCTCGCTTTTCTCGCCAGTCAGAAGCCGGTGCCTGTCCATCCCAGTGCTGTTGGAGGGCTCGAGACCACAAACAGGGGCATGTTGCTCAAGCTCACGTTCCTCGCGCCAAATAGCGCGCCGATCTCCTGGAAGAAGATGACATCATGACATCCACATGCTCCATGCATCGAGATCTTCCTGGCCATGAGGCGTGCTCTGATTGGCAGCTGAAATTGCAAGCGCGGCAGCGGAGTCGTCTCTCAGCTGATGGAAGCTGCCAGCCGCCGCAGCTCCTGCAAATCAACTGATCAACTGAGCCGTCAGGGAAGATCCCAAGGCCCTGAAAGCCAAACTAGGCCTCAAACTGTTGCTTTTCGCTGGCCTTGATCTGGAACTGGGCTACACGTCGGGGAAACTTGGACTAATCTTTCGGGCGGAGATGGGAACCTGTGGCATCATTTGATGACTCCCCATGTTGAGTACGTGGTTTCCGCACTTTACTTGCAACCAGTGGCCGTGGCGCTTCTGGGACTCGGGACTCCGTTTTGGCTGGTATTCCAAGGGGAAGAAAAGAAGAAAAAGGACGGCCACTCCAGGGGACCGCAGGACCGCCCCTTCTGAGAAACGCAGTGAGAAAAAATATCCTCGCTCTTCACCACCACCAGCTCCAGCTGCAGTTTCTGCAGCTCCGCCAGCACCGCCAGCACCGCGCTCAGCCGCATGTCGCCTCCTAGATCCAGGAAGCCTGAGCTACGGATTGTCAAGAGTCAGCTCCACCAAGAACCACGCCCCTTTATGACAACCAAAGAATGTCGCTCCAAAAAATGTGGGGGGATAAATACAAAGTCTGCTCCAGAGGTCTCAGACCCACCTCAGACAGGCCCCCTTTGGTCTTGACATCTCGTCCAGGGACCTCTGCAATCCTTGCGCCAGGAAACACGCGCCCAGCTGCGGCAGGGAGCCCCCCAGGGGCGCCAGCAGGTCTGGGAGCCTCGCAAGAGGCGAAGGCGGTGCGTTCGTCATGGGTTTTGTTGTTCAACATCCCTGCCTGTTTGTGACACAGAGAGGGGGAGAAACAGAGAGAGAGAGAGAGAGAGAGAGAGAGAGAGAGAGAGAGAGAGAGAGAGAGAGAGAGAGAGAGAGAGAGACAGAGAGAGAGAGAGAGAGAGAGAGAGAGAGATACAGCACGAGTTAAGCATGATGGTTTGCCTTTCTCTGGAGCATTTTTTTTCACTGACAGTTTGCGAACCAGCTGTGTGCAGAACTGTGCTGCTTACAACCAAGTAAGATGCTCAGCTACAATTGGCTCCAAAAGCCACCGCAAAGCGGTTGCGTTTTAGAGACTTACCTCGTTTAGGCTTAACTCACACTCCTTCCTGGCCTGTCCATTTCCGCGGGCACGTCCAGCTGCTCAAAGTGCAGCCCAGGGAAGCGCCGCCTCGAGCGATCGTGGCAGTTTTGGGCCCCAGCTAGAAAATTTTACATTTCATAATATTATCAATTTACTTAATTTTAAAATATTTCTCAAATCTAACATAACACATATTATTAGCATCTTTTGAATTCGTATTCATCTACGTACACAAAGGGCCAGCACCGCGCCTGGCTCGCCCCACCACTTCCTCACTGCGGTCAACCCCCAGCACTGACACGCCGCGCTCCGCCAGCAGCGATGTGGTGAGGCCCTCATGGCAGCCTCGAGCAAAAACCGAGGCAAAGGGCCCGCGCTCCAGTGCGAGATTTGCCAAGTCCGACCACGGCCCTTGCTCCGTTGGTCTCAAGAGCGGATGGCGCAACAAAACATCTCAAACGGAGACTGGCCATACTGAACACAATGGCTTGTCGATGTTTGCAGAAGGTTGGATTACATGCCGGCAACGACATGGTACGGTGGCGTCTTAACGTTACTTCGAATGTCCACATCGATCCACCCAAACCGCACGTCGGGAGGCCAATCTCCAGAGCCCAGGGCCGGCTGGGAGTCAAGGAGGCCGCCAGCCGGCGGTACTCCCGGGTGCGGCTGCACACGCGGAGCATAAGCTGCAGCTGACGATGGGGACCGCAGGCTTTAGTCCGTGCAACCAGGGTAAGCCATTTTGGATCCTCCAACGCTTAACAGAACTTGTTGGACCGATTCTAGGCCTCAACGGTTTGTCGGGCCAGTGGAGATGTGGGAAGGCATCGTGTATTGAAATGGCTGACCAAGATTGGTAGAGTACAGCTGTGCGCGGCACGGGCAGTGTTCTTGCTGGTACCTTCTTTGATTCCAGAGTCAGGCTGCAGCACATGCAAGTCAACCGAGCACAAATGTGAGAGCAAGAGAGACTCTGGCAAGGAAGGAAGCCCCGTATAACCAATTCCTATCTGGAGAAAAGCTCAGTTTGGTGGGGAAGCCGTCCTTTTTGTGTCCTTTTCAAAAGAACTGGAAAGGAAAAACCGCGCCCTTTGGGTCTTTCTGAGGCAACGAACTGGGATCTCGGGTCCCGGACCAGAGAGCTGCTGAAGCCCGTCCTTCCGGCCCTGGCGCACCAGGCGCCCATCGCCCGCCTCGAAACGCGCGTGCCCGCGAGGCTGCAAGGCCAAGGGGGCTGGAGGATGGGAAAGGGAGACGTGAGCACAGCCATTCATCATCTTTGATCTACTTGATCCCCTGTCACCTCACAATGACTCGGAATCTAACCCCCTCTAACCTTTCTAAAAAAAAAAAAATGAAGCATTTGCAAGCCAGCAGTGAAGCGAGCTGCAAAGTCGCTGCCGGCGACGGTGCCAGAGTTCCCTGCCTCGTCATAGCCGTAGCACTGGTTGTCGCGCGGGATGGAAGGCGCACTGAAGCGGGCGAGATGGACGACGGGCTGCGTGTGAGATGGTTGGGACATGTCGGCGAGCCTTTTGGTGGGTCGGTGAAGGAAACACACAACCAGGAATCCATGTCTGTCAAAAATCGCTATGTGGTCCCAAGCGTGACTTGCCGCAGGCATCGATGCAGACAAGTCCCGCCACTGCCTGCTAGACTTGAAGAGCAAGCGCTGCTCTCCCTGGGCACCACATCTTTTGCCCCCTGCATCAAGGCATGTTACACATCGTCGCCAGGAATCCTGCTCAAACGCCGGTCACCTTCCTTCCAAGCCTTCTCATGACCTCCCTGCCCGCTTTCCCCACATCCAGATGGGCCCCCGCGCCGGGGGCACCCCCATCGTCTTGTTGCTGGCCCGCCCCAGGGAGCCCGCCAGCGTCTGCTTCGCTGCCGCGTAGTCCCCAGGCCCGGGCCTGAAGTCCTCAGCTTCCCGTCGAAAAACCCAGACTTCGACGAGGCACTTGACGAGACCATTTCTTTCGACTGGCAGAGGCCACACACAAAATGGAAGATCATACGGGGGCTCTGCACACGTATTAAATACGTAACGTGTGTACATACATATAATGTAATTAATGTTTATATAATTTATATATATATATACACACACAGCGCGTGCACATTGCATGCATGACTTCCCATGCGGGGCCTTCTTGGGATCTCCGAAGCGCTGGCTCCCGCAGGTAAAGGGCACATGCTTCTTGGGCAGGCCGTGGTCGAAGGACCCTTGCCACTCGACTGAAAGCACCAAACACACTCATCTCACAGCTGATTGCAGAACCTTGCTGCTTTACTGCCACCTCTGGACACATAAAGTTCATCAAGTTCAGAACGAAAGCCGCGGCCCACTCCTGGCCTTTGGGGACGGCCTTGGGGCTGTACCGCGCGGGGTCGAGGCCCAGCCTTGGGCCCAAGGCGCAAAGGCTGAAAAGCGAGCCCCCGCTTCCCCCGCAACCGACCGCCCCAGGGGCCCAGGGGCGCCGGCGAGGTGTCCTTCTTGGCATCCAGTGGACCCTGCCGCACGACAAGGGCAACGGGCAATGCATGACAAAGCTGGTGGATACACCCATCAACCTGACGTGGATGTTTTAAATGCATGACGCTTTGGCAAAAGCCCAGCTTTTTCTTCCACGCAAGGAGTCCAATCCCTGCGGAATACATTGAAGCCAGGGCACATAGACCGAAAACTTGAGCCCCCTTCGGTGATTCAAGTGCTGCACTGGGTACAGCGCTTCCAAAGTGGCCTTGTGGCCGATTCCCTCCAACTTCAGGGAGGTCGAATTAGGTCCGATTCCTGTACAAAGCTTGCAGAGATATTGGTAGGCTCCGTGAGCCCTGGCTCGCTGGCATGCTCCACATCTGCATTACTGGAGTCCCAGCCACTACAGGCATGCCAGCAAGCACGAAACATGTATTGTTCTTTCAGTCAGTGGAAGCTGCTGCAAGCGGTCTTGTGCATATTATTTTGTGTGTGCTTGGGTCTATATGTGTGTGTGGAGTAGGAAGTACTGGACAGCACTCACGTGTGATTTGGACAGCTTCCACCGTACCTGTAGGATAACATATAGCAGATTGGCACATCGAGCATCTTTGCTCGACATGCGTGGATTAAGTGGCCATGGATTGCCCAGTCTCCTGACTTACGGGTCCCGGCCGCAAAGTGGGAGGATCGCCGGACACCCCCAAATTTTCATGAGAACAAATTTCTGCAAGTGGGCAGATTCCGAGTCTAGCTCTCCGCCGCGGGCGTCAGCACCACGCCCGCGAAGCCCTGGCCCGGCAGGCAGCAGCCCGCCTCGTTGAAGCTGACCCTCACCCGGGCGATCTCCACCTTGTGGCTGAAGATCCGCACGCCCCCGTCGTGGCCCGTGCCGGACAAGCTCTTCATGTCCTGGCGCAGCTTTGGCCAAGGAATACCGTGGTGGGCGACACTCCACAATAGACGCTTCGGTGGTTGGATGGTGCCAATGCAAAACACAATCACAAGGGCCAGCGTTCGGGGAAAGATTGAAGCAGGGGCACCTCAGAGCATGTCATGGCTGTGGCTCAACATGAACCGTCGACGATATTCTTGCCCCTAATGGGAAGCCAGAATGGCCAACCTTTCAAACCACCAGCGTTCTGCATCTTTCAGGATGACACTTGCTTGCCGCAGGAGCAAGAAGCACAAGATCCATATGTTTAACCAGCAACAGTGGAAGTTGGATGCACCAGAAAATGTGTTGCATTCCCGGACCCCTTGTGAATTTGTTTGGCCACAAGGTAAGCAACCATTTGTGGAGGTCATCAGTTTTCGGACACCCCATCTAAATATCGACCCGCCCCCCCTCCACCCGAATGTGTCGTGGTTTCTTTGTGGTGCCGCTAAGGGAAACTAAATGCAAACCATTCATTGGGAACGGGCGCGTATCTCTAAAATATTTTGCAGGGGATATGCAGCCGCCACTTAGCAAAACCCATATAGCCAAAACCATGAAAACAAACCAAACCTACTTTCCCACCTCCAACTTCTGCGCCGTGGCAGCCAAAACAGCCGCACGCAGGCCACCGCGCGCGGCGGAAGGCGCGCAGGACTGGGGGAGCTCCACCTCCCCCACCACCGGCAAACTCAGGATCCACCGCTCCTTGTCGGTCACCTGACCGGCCACAAGCTGTTGGAAGTCGAGATGCTGTCCCAAACACAAGAACCCAAACAAAGTCGTTACGCTGCTAATGGCCACTGCACGAGTTCTCAGGAACCATGTGTGTGTGTGTGTGTGTGCTTGTGTACTGTACTAACAACATGAGTCTTGAATCTTGCGATCTTTCGCTCAAGGGCGCTAGCCATCAACTCCCTCTATGCGGATTCAGAAACGGGAAGCTGCAGGAAGAACCCTTTTGATATGATGGTTGCCTTAAGTCTTAAGCATTTTTAAGGTTGACGCCTCTTGCGAGTTCTCCGACCAGTACTTCCCCCTCGCACCTGCTCGCCGAAGCGGGCCGCAAAGAGCGTCCCAGCAGGCTCCGTCTCCGTCTCAGTCTCGCTAAGGCACTCACTGGCAGACGGGGTCATCGTCTTGGTGTCCGTATCCTCATCGAGCCGGGTCAAGAAGCTGTAGATGCGCTCCGGGTGCTTCCCGTGCAGGATGCCGCAGGGGACTCCGGCGCAGTGGGCTGTGCGAGCGGCCGCGATCTTCGTTGACATGCCACCAGTTCCAAGGGAGGAGCCTGGTTCTCTGGTGTCGACGTTCAGCTCGAAGGCTTCATTCACCACTTTCATGGGCTCCGCCGAGGGATCAACATTGGGGTTCGCGGTGTAGAGGTAGTCAACATCCGTGAAGAGGAACACACCCTCAGCTTCCAGCTGGATGGCGGTCAAAGCAGCAAGATTGTCGTTGTCGCCAAAGCGAACACCATCGGTGTTGGTAGTGTCGTTTTCGTTGATGATGGGAACGACACCTGCGTCAAGGCATGCCGAGATCGTGTCCCGGATCTCTGCCCAGCGCTGCTGTTCCAAGAAGTCTCGCTGGCTGACCAACAGCTGCGCTATTCTGAGCCCCACTGTCTCAAAAAGCTCTGAGTAGAGGCGCATGATGCGGCTCTGTCCCACACCTGCCACTGCTCGCTTCATCTCCGGATCCGTGGGCTTCTTTTTGAGTCCAAGCTCGCGGCAGCCCATGCCCACGGCCCCTGAGGAGATCAGCACGACCTTGTAGCCCTTGTGGCCGAGGTCCGCGATCACCTCCACTAGTCTGGAGAGGTTGGCGACGTTCACACGCTGTCCTCTCTCATCTGAAGTCATGATGGTAGAGGTGCCCACCTTCAGCACAAGGATGCTGGAGTCGAACTTCATTGCTCTGGATGCTCAAGGTGAAAAGTCCCGAAAACTCCCGGCGAAAGCTGAACCGGCGAGAGCCACAGGCGGCCAGTGTTTTGAATCCTCACACTTATACTATCCTTGCACTGCTGTTAAGCAGCTTCAACTGCAAAGGTCCGCAAATTCTATTGTTCACCAGACATACAAGTGGTGATGCCGTGCAAAAAGCCACACGGGGCTTAAAGCATTTCAGGGTCATACCTAAAACAAGACAAATGCAAATGGATTGCTTCAACACGTTGGCATACCATGTCCTGCATGCAGCGGAGGGTTGCCACCTTGCCATGTGCTGCGCTTCCCCACGACTCCGGCCTGGCCATTGCTGCCAGAATTGAAGGGCGCATAGCAAGGCCGCTTCTCCTGCACCGCTCCGATTTCGGGGAAACTCTTTCCGCCCGTAGTCCAAGAATCAAACGGACGTCCAGCGTTCCGGCCTCCTTGAAGGAAGACGGCAGAGGATATGGCCCCGGACCTCGGCACCAGCTTGGCACCCGGACCGGACGGGTCCCGCACGCGATGCTCGTCGCAAAAGCTTCTCAGTTAGCCTGGAACCCCAAACGGGTGGATTCCCTTTGAACCAACCCTGAATAGGGTATCTTACCATCAAAACAAACATACATTCACTTTCTACAAATTGACAGCTGGAGTGTCAAGGTTTCCAACTGAGCGCACGGCAGGGCTGCTCCTTCTCCTCGGTTTCCTTCTCCCAGTTGAACCTCAGCGAGGTCACAACTGCTCCAGGAACTCCAGAGCTGTACAGAAGATGCCGAAGGAAATATGCGACTCCCCTAGTCCAATCAAAGGATCTCTGTCGCAAAAGGGGCCAATCCCAAGCCAGGCTCCTTGTGACTTCCGGAAAGGCGAGCCTTCACGGACACACACGCTTGATTCTGCTCGAGACAGCGCGCCGGGTGGCAACACCAGACATCTCCCAGTGACAAGCACAAAGCATTTCGTAACAAAGCGCGTGAGGAAAGAAGACCTGGGGTGTCTATCGCCAACGTCTTCAAGCGCCGGACCGTTCGCTCTTAGTGACCCAAGCCATGGCGCACGACGGCTCGGGACACAAGAGGCTATTTTTCAAGGTCTCAGCTCTTTACAATGGCATCCTTTTTCGCCGCTGCTGCGGCCAATGCGGTGCCTCGTGTGGGACGTGCTTGCGACAAGCAAAAATAAATGGAAAATATTACGTATGTCGGGAAGGGCTTGTCTTGTCCTGGCTGGTCTTCCTGCAAAGCCTCATGTGGCTGCAAGCAATGGCGAAGAATTCAAAGCGGCGACTGATTCAAGCATGCACAGGACCTGGAGAAATAGCCCACACGAACTAGCTCTCATTTGAAAACAACATCGCTGAGACATTTACCGGATGTAGTTATACGCACACAGCTCTGCAGGGCTGCACACGTTGATCTGTCGGAGAAAAGACACCAAAGCTCACTGAACAAACTCCCTTCATGCTGCTGAGCAAGGGGTGAAGTTGCCTGAAGCAATCCTCTGGAATATGAAGCAGGTCATCGTCCAGTCTATTTTGAGCGTTCCCTTCATGCAGCGCGGATCATCCGGGACCAAGCAATGAAGTGAGCTCACCAAAGAATTCGGCGCTCAGATCTGTACAACGTGCAGGAGATTGCTGGGCTGCCGAATTCCTGGCAGACCGCAGCACATAAAGCAGGCCACCTCATCGCTTCTACAACAAAGCGGTCTGTTACCTATGCAGCTGCGGGCGATGAAAAAGTGCAAGGCGGGAGCGAGTCTCCACAGCGAGAAAGTCTCGCCACCAGCTAGCTTCCACGTGTGCGCCATTCCAATGTCCATGGCAATTCGCCTAATTCGATGGACTGTGCCCGAGAAAAAAGAGATTGAAACCCGAAGGGTTGCATACCCCGGGTCTTGCATTAGTGGGCATTTAGCCCAGCTACGCACAGTCGCAATGTCTTTCCGGGACTGCTTCGCAGTTTCTCAAAACCGGCCTTCAGCAAAGGCCCTCCGCAGCAGGCGTGAGCACCACGCCCTGCTCGGGGCTGCTGGGCAAGGTGCGCCCCTCCTCATTGAACGCAACCCTCACCTTGGCGTCGCAGAGAGAAAACCCAAAAAGCCCCCGCACGTCGCAGATTTCAAGCAACCCTGCATTTCCCTCCCCTCCCCCCAAGGACGAACGAGGGACACAGCTTCGATCCAGATCGAGCGGCTCGGGCAATCTCCACCTGCTGGTGGAAGATCCGGACGCCTCCATGGTGGCAAACCTCAGAGCGGCCCGCGTGGCTGGCGATGCAAAGCCTCTGTGTCTTCGCGGCTAAGCCTGTTTAATGACCATTGCCATTTGGGAACCATCACAAACTCTGCAAGGATGACTTTCTTGTCTGTCAGAATGCATCTTGCAAGCGACGCGAAAACTTGGGCCACGGGAACTCCCCGGCGAGCCTCCGAAAGGCACTTGATGTTCTCCAAGCTTTCCTCTGCAGCCTTCAGGACGGCCTGGCAAGTGCTACACATGTCGTAGCGTGCAAGGCCAGGTGTGCATATTCATTGAGATGTGTCATGCATATGCTATACATCCAGCATTTCTCTGAACAGAGTAACTTGTTTGATGCTAACATGCAAAGATGGGACCTTTCCTGCCCAAAACGACCCTACACCAAATGCTCCAAGCCGAGAACAAAACGCCTGCCGCAGGTCAGGGAGGAGCTCAGCCAAGTGAGCTTCGCCCACCAGCGGCAAGCTCAGGATCCACCGCTCCTGTGATCCAAGCCGCATGAAAGAAACCACAGGAAACGAGTTCGGTCCACCTCCGGAGAAACAAAAAGTGCAACTTGAGGCCCTGGAAATCAGTTTTGAGCCAACCCGGGAACATGTTTCAGGAACAATAATGAGGCATAAACTCAAGACCCCACCCTCAAGCACAACAATTGGAACATTTGGACCCGAGAGTGTGCACAGGTCCGGCCGGCTCATCCTCCTGGGTTTCTCTCTCTCTCTCTCTCGCTCTCTCGAATTTTTGGGCCATGCTTTTTTCATCAGTCCTGGCCTATCGCCTACCTGTCTCCCAGTAGCAGCCCCGGAAGAATCAACCTGGCAGAGTCGTCCTCTAAGTTCACTCTGAAGTGGGCCCCCCGCCCCCACCAGCTTCATTCCTGGCTCCCTTTCCCCGACAACGTCCTCCTCAGTGGCCTGCTCCCCGTGGGCCGCAAACAAGGTGCCCTCCGGCTCCTCGTTCTCCGCGTCGCTGCAGGCCTCGGATGATGGCGCCTTGGTGGGCGTCAGGTCGTCCTCGTGCCCTCAGCCCGTCGCGCATCCAAGCAGGCGCCGAGCGTTCTTCAAGGGGTAGGAAGTCGGAGCAGCGAAAACAAAAAATGTGTTTGACTTCCCTTGCTGACGAGGCCTCAAAAAGACACATAGGCATGTGTCAGCAGTCTGGAAGGTGGTCATGCAGAATCGTGGCACATCAGTTGAGCTTCTTCAATGAGACACAATCTGTAACCTGGAATTCTTGGCCCCGTCACAATTCCAATGCCAACGGCCCATGCCAGAGCGAAGCAGTAACCAAGACCCCCCCACCTTCAACTCTTGTTTTGCCTCGAACCTTGAGCATGCCACTGCAGTCAAGGCCACGGGTCAAGAAGCTGTAGATGCGCTCCGGGTGCTTCCCGTGCAGGATGCCGCAGGGGACTCCGGCGCAGTGGGCTGTGCGAGCGGCCGCGATCTTCGTTGACATGCCACCAGTTCCAAGGGAGGAGCCTGGTTCTCTGGTGTCGACGTTCAGCTCGAAGGCTTCATTCACCACTTTCATGGGCTCCGCCGAGGGATCAACATTGGGGTTCGCGGTGTAGAGGTAGTCAACATCCGTGAAGAGGAACACACCCTCAGCTTCCAGCTGGATGGCGGTCAAAGCAGCAAGATTGTCGTTGTCGCCAAAGCGAACACCATCGGTGTTGGTAGTGTCGTTTTCGTTGATGATGGGAACGACACCTGCGTCAAGGCATGCCGAGATCGTGTCCCGGATCTCTGCCCAGCGCTGCTGTTCCAAGAAGTCTCGCTGGCTGACCAACAGCTGCGCTATTCTGAGCCCCACTGTCTCAAAAAGCTCTGAGTAGAGGCGCATGATGCGGCTCTGTCCCACACCTGCCACTGCTCGCTTCATCTCCGGATCCGTGGGCTTCTTTTTGAGTCCAAGCTCGCGGCAGCCCATGCCCACGGCCCCTGAGGAGATCAGCACGACCTTGTAGCCCTTGTGGCCGAGGTCCGCGATCACCTCCACTAGTCTGGAGAGGTTGGCGACGTTCACACGCTGTCCTCTCTCGTCTGAAGTCATGATGGTAGAGGTGCCCACCTTCAGCACAAGGATGCTGGAGTCGAACGTCATCCCGTCAAAAGCACGGTGCGAAAAGCGGAAGCAGAAAGCTATCCCAATATTTTGACTGAGCTGCTACGGCCAAGTACAAGCAGGGCGAAACAACCTCTGGACTGCACCACCAACCATACAAGTACAAGCCTGGGAAACTAAAATCAAAACCAACCGAATTGGATGGACTGCTGCCATTCACCGGGAAACCTGCTCAAACTCAGCTTTCTCCTGCGCAGGCCTTGCTCTCTTTTCTCGCTTGCGACGAGAACTGTCGCCACACGTCTTGTGCAGCTTCTCGACAGCATGACATCTACAAAGGGTGAAGTGAAGTAACAACGTAGAAGCCCAAGTGGTCGCTGTCAGTTGCACTACAATTTCTACAATGACTATGAGACTATTTGTGCTGCGCACTCCGAGCATTTCCATCTCGCAAATCTCATGCGCTCACAACTAGCTATTAACCGGCACTGCTGTTTCTGCTGTGCCAGTGGAAAAGCAGGCACACGTCATGCCCAGCAATCGGCCGTCCAATCAAGCAGGCGTACCAAAACCACAATGAGTTCAGCTGAAGCACACGGGATGGCGGGCAAATTCTCCAATTTCGACCTGGAAAAACGTACAGTAACAGCGAATGGCTTTAAACTGAAGCAAACGCCTGATCGGAGCAGCACCTCACATTATCGCATTATCGGGGCGCGCTCAGCAAAGCCCATGCTGCCAAGGACTAGACCTCCAAGACTCCCCACATCGCCATCTTGCCACAAAATCCATCCAAGGGAAAGGTTCCTTCGGCCAAGTGCCGGCCAGCTTCTCACGACTTCAATACGTCCATGCGGCACATGCGGCCAGTTTGTCACGGGATCAACGGGAGCTGTGTTCGTGGATAAGTTGGGGAGCCTGTTGCCTGACCCTGCGATGTCCCCCACGCAGATTCTCCCCTGTCAATTCGTGTAACCGAGAGCTGGTCGAAGCACTTGTGCGCTTGGTTCTCTACATGTGGCAAAGCAAACCACGTGATGTTTGTATAGCAAGGGAAAGAATGTGATGTTTTTGGCCTGGTTGCCTTTCACTATCTAGTGAAATCCTCTGAAGTGGCTCTGTGCTTGACACCCATGCCCCCCCCATCCACACCACCCACGCCACCCACCCACAACCCATTCTCTGTGTGCCTCGCGAGCCAGCGGCCTACGAGGCCTCAGATCGACACGCGCCGATCAGGCCATACACGCAAGGCTCTCGGAAATACAACCACTTTGTGGAAACACAACCATGAGCAAGCGACAGTCACTGGCTGGGCTGTCAAAAGGTCAGAGTGCCAAAGTCAGGCCATGAGGGAGTTGCCAGAGCAGGGGCAATTTCAAGTCCAAGAGTGTGCGGAGCAAAAACGCGGCCTCCCCTACAACCTCGGCTTTCGGGCTCCCAAAGAAGCCAGGCCCGGTCGCCCGCCCGCACTGAACCCGCCTGGAGCACCGTCCCCACCGTCGCTGAGGAGAAGCGCCGGAGCTGGTGGGTCGGCTCGGGCGGCCGGCCTCACGTTCCAGGAACTTGATCAAAAGGATCGCACGGTCAGCGTCTTAGACCAAAGGGAATACCGCCATTTTGAAGAAGTCTTACCCTACTAACATGGAAGTGCATAGACCCCTTGAAAGACTACTTGCCGGCCTTTGTGCACTTCCATGTTTGGTGGGAGCGCCATTTGCAAGGCTTTGGAGTTTCCGAGGCGCCGGCTTTGGATCTTCTCACGCCGCAGCACTATGAGGATCCAGCTGTGCCCACCAACCTGTCGTGATCAAGCCGGTCCGTAAACGAAGCCGCGGAAAGGAAGCGAAGAAGACCCGTCTGCAAGGCTGCCGCACCCCGTCGGTCTCCTCATGCGCCACCAGGGAAAATCCGGCCTGAGAGAGAGAGAGAGGGAGAAAGAGAGAGGCTTGTTGGCACCTCTGCTCTCCATGCATTCCATTGGGCAAAAAAAAGACATCGCCAGAGATTTTCCCAAGGAGGACACAAATTGCCACACCGTTCGCATGTTTCGTCTGTGGGAATCCACAATTTCAAGCGATTATGCATCATTGGGAATGCCTACCAGGAGTCATGAAACAACCTGCGTCGCAACAGCAAAACTACCGAAGCAAACTCGCGGAATGGTCTTGAGTCTTGACTCAAACCCCAGAGAATGGCGTATTCCACTGGATCCATCCGGTGTTTCTGCTCAGGCATCTTCGGCCCCAAGCTTTAGCCCCGAGAGCCACCAGCTGCGAGACGTCGTGGCAGCCTGGCAAAACCGCAAGGGCGGGAGTCAACTCCTCAGTTGTCCCAAGAAAGAAATGGTCCAACTCGTTTCACCCTGTGAGGACTGCAATTTTGTTGCCCTCCGGATATCATTTTACATGACCTATGTCCAAACGATGAGGCTCATAGCTACCCATCGCGTGGGTTTCTAGCGGTTGCAGTCGCACCTGAAGAAACTGACTCGCATGTTGCTTAGGGGTGGCAGCCATGTCAAGCGAACCGAAGGCACGCGAATTGGTTCTAAGCGTGACTCGCCTTCTGTTTGACTGGTTCTAGCATGACAACAAAGCTCCAACATAGAGTTGTACAATGGGTAGGAAACCAAAGGCCACCCAACCCCCAGGAAAAGCTCTCAGAAGCTTCTTGAAAGGCTTTCTTAGAAGGGGTCTTGGACCCCGACAATGTCTCCCCCAAGACATAGGTTGCCAACACGTTCGCGTCAAGTTGGGCCAGCAGCGCCCCACTGTAGCTTCCTGGCAGCAAATATGTCTTTCTGGCCACAGGGCGGGGCGTGGCTTTGAAAAGTTGTCGCTCTGTAACTTGTTTAAATACAATGCCCCGACAAAGGCAGCAGGGACACAACACCAAACGCGCAGAGACGCCCGATGCGCCACACCCAGTCCTCTCAGCAGATGCGGCGTACGCCCTCAAGGCGGCATCGTAGACTAGCAGACTATCGCCAGCCTGCACAGCTGGACGGCGTAGGCATATGCTGTTATTAAGGCGTGTTTCAAGGCCTTGCATTCTTGCTTGTTTCGTGTCCAGACCTCCTTCGAGAGGCAAAATTGAATAACAGGGCTCAACACTGTTCAGTAATTGCTTTTCAAACTACAACGGGATCAGACAAGGTCGCCAGGAGCGCGCAAGATGGGTCAAGTGCGTAATTCGCTTTGGGCATACATTCACCAAGCAGCTGCCAGCAAAACAGAGCTCATCGCAAGGGCATCCTGTAAAGCAAGTCTCAAATGCTGAAGCTATCTGCACATTCTTTGCACAGACCCAAAAAGCCCGTGAGGAACATCCCTCTAAAACGGACGCTCTGGGATGCTGTGCTAGTCAGGGTCCGGCAGTTCTCTTACGCCCAGCCCATGGCCCGCCTCGCCATTGTTGAAGAAGGGCCCGCAGATCAGGACATGGCCTCCCACTGCATCCAGAAACTTCTATTGGGCAAAGCCTGGCGAATCAAAGCCCGAAGGGGGAAAACCATAGCAGGTTGAGGCAGGTTGTGCTACGATCTCATGACCGATCTTGATTCCAACACAGGAACCGCCCCTGCTGCATCAGAGCGGCCAAATTCCGCAGACGTAGTGCCAGGCGGGCAAGTACAAAAAAGTCAAAAACAGCGGGTCCGGAAAGGACTATCCAATGCCAACCAGCTACAAACTTCCGCATCAACCAGATTGATTGGTCCAATTTCAGATCAATCGCTCGAACACAACTGGTCATTTGTCGGAGCTCCAACCCGCATGCAAGTCACAGCCGTGCACATGTCGTGGACATCCGCCTCCAACAGGAAGATGCTCGCTGCAGCCAACCAGAAAGTTCTCTACACCTTGGGGTCAATGGTCCAAAAAAGCAGAGACGCATCGGACAAATGAGAACACATCCAATATTCTGTACGTAGCAACCCGCACCTCGCCAAGTAACAGCAGGGATTCCGACATATTCTTCTTGTCGTTCTTGCTGGTTCCCATTCAGGAATCAAAAGAAGTCTGGAAATGAATCTAGGGATCCCCCGACAAACTGCAGGGATGATTCGTAGGGGGTCATTCCTGAAGCCAGAAAGTTTGGCTGGGACACTCTTATGGTTGAACCAACCCAGGTGGAGTGAGGGCCAGGCCCATCCCAGATACGTAGTGGAGCACCTTGGACTGTTCAGGGATCGCCGCTGCCCCCACTGAACCACTCAACCCATTGTGATCCAACGGTTCTCGGGGGCGCCACGTTGATGCAAAAGATGCAGCCGATCTCCTGGTTGGTGAGTTTGTTCTTCCAGCCTCAAGAAGATGCAGCTGCGGAAAACCGTGTCGAAACATCTTTTTGCCAAACCCCGTGTGGCTTAGAAAGCACATTGATGAATAAAACTGACGCAAAAGGAGTACATGCCTTTGAGATATGAGTGCCCAAATGTCTACCCAATACGTCGGTCCGCACAGTTCATGAGGGGATGCTAATATAGATTTCCGGAGCATGTTCCCGGAAACACACTCAGCTGTCCAAGTCCAGCACTTCGGAGCAGCCCCGCGTCCAGGTGCCGGGGCCTCCGTGCAATCCATGCGGGCGACTCACGTCAGCACTTTGGCAAGCTGTGGGATCCAAACCACAAAGACAAGACAGGAAAGACAGGAAAGACAAGAAAGACCGGCATGCGGCACATGCTCCTTGGCCACTCAGTTCGGGCCACCCTGCGGCAGGACCCGGCTGCGGGCCACGCTCTCGTTCTGGCCCTGGGCCAAGCACCGCCAAGCACCCGCGAGCAAAGCACAAAGAGGTCGACGGGACTCGCCTGTCTCCGGGAGCGCTTCTTGGGCAGCTCCTTCTTCATGAGGGCCAAGCGCTCCTAACCCGCTCTCTTCTGATCCAAGCAAGGGTCTCAATCGGGGACCAGCATGTGTGTGTGTTTGTGCTTGTCGATGTGAGGGGGGGAAAGGAACAAAAGAAAAGAATGCACGCTCACTCATAACACAAACCAAAACATAGACAACGAAACAGAGACAAAGACAGAGAGGCGGATAGCACCTTGTATTCTTCTGATCCGTGTGCTACTTCAAACGGCCCAATGTCGTCCATCTACAAATTGCAAACCCTTGCCATAAGAATGCAGCTTCAATACCGCATTGAGTGGACATTCGAGCGTGGTAAATGACAAGCTAAGCTGGCACAAAGTGCCGCTTGTTTCGGTGCATGCCTGCCTTCTGGAAAAATGAAACATCCCCGCAAACACATTAAAAATGAAAGTGCTGAGAATTCATCCAATCGCCAGCACATTCTCCGTCTGTACGCGGACCTCATGGTTCCTTTCGAGGGAAGACAACATGTTCAAAAAAGCTCATTCCCTAGTATTTACAACCCTTTTGCAGTCCAAATCGCCAGCGTTTGCGATCATAAGAATCCTTTTGCAGAAGACCCTTGCAGGACACGCCTAACACATGCTTGGAACGGGTAATTGCCTTGAAGCTATCCTCCTTGATTGAAACCTGGAACCCTAGCTAAAGGCTGACAACGGGATCCTTGCCAGCGCCAGCGAGACACCCTGATCAAGCTTGATAATGTGTGCGGGCTTGTGCCATGGACGGCATCACCAACTGCCTCTGTTCCGCGCCTGAAGCAGCATGAAAAGGCCAGGGGACGACTGCCCCGTACCCTCCGTGGGCTGAATGTACAGCTCCTGCTGTGAAATCGCTGCTCAGGTTGCTTCGAGCTGAGGGTACACACCGGGGCACTTCTTTGGATGTAGCTCTTGACACCACTGGCACAAACACCGAAGAAACATGTCACGGTTGTTCAATGTTTAATACTGCCACGGAACAAGGCGAGTAGGTAAGCACACTGTCACATGAGTATGAGTTGCAGATGTCTAGCCATTCCACAGCAAGGCTGTGGCTGATTTCATGGAAACCGGCTAGGCATCCAGCACACAGCTCCCATCCCCAGGGCTCCGGAAACCGCTCCGCAAACATCAGGGTCATGTCGCCAGCCCGGGAGCCCACCTTCGGCGCCCAGCCGAA